GAGAGGAATGTATCTAAGGTTGATAACGTGTGATTCTGGTCTAAGGTTCCATTCGGCAATCCATCTCAGTTTCCGTAAATCAAAATTTGTGCACAGCTTATAGCAGAAGAAGGACTGTTTCCGGTTTAATTAACAGAAGTACACTATTAATGAGCGCCATATAGACAAGAGTATTTCAATATACATGTAGATCCAATAAGAATCGGCGCGCAATGTATACACTAAATTCATGGGTACTTCTTCCGGTAGTTTTAAAATATAGGTCAAATGTTGCAAGTGGTCAGAAAGGAACAACTTATCGAATGATGTGATTTACAAATTTGATTGCGATTAAAATATTAACTCCATATTTAAAAATCTAAAATCTCAGCAAGCATGGACCTGCAGTTCTTAAAGAATTTTGTTTAAATTTACCTCCTAAATGGAAAGATTAAGCCTATAGATATTGCCTCTGTATGTTTTTCTGTAAATTACTGAAAGAAGTTGAACACGAGATAACACCTTTCGAATTTGATGCCAGTTTACCTCTTGATGCAGATCGACGCCTTTGATCCATGTAATCGTTCTGAAAGAGCGCCGTTATAATATCCCTTTCTAGAGACTGTGCTTGTTGAAGTCCTCTTAGTTTGGGAACATGAATTAACATGGGTATCTTATTATTAACATTCACTAGTGTATAGACACTATAAGATATAGTACAGTATAAAAAAAATCACAATTCATAAAATCGTATATGTCATTCAATGACAATTGGTAGGTGAATTGACATGGCGAGGAGGGTAATTGCGGGGCAGCACAAACTTTAATTCACCCGAAACTGATTATTGAAAAACAATATCCTCTTCAAATTCCAAATGCTATGTAGCCCGACAAATCTGGCCTTACCCGTTCCCTGGGCGTGATATACGGATATGATAGCGTCACTGTTAAGGCCCGACTCCAAAGGTCATGGAATAACCGGAAATGTCTTGATGGATTCATCAATGGTTAAGATTTGTATCGATCCAAAAAATAGATCGGAGTAACGCCCATAAAATCTGACCTTTGGAGTCTGGGGTTAACTGTGACGATATCACATGCGTAAGGCCAGATCTGTAGGGCCACACTTTATATTACTTAAAGTCATTGTGACATTTTAAATATTTTAAAGAGATGGCTGCTAGCCAGATGAGTTTTCTAAACAGTTTATCAAGTAAGTTTATTTCAACATGTTGAATGAACATCAAACAGTTTTCTGCATAATTTGATTTTAATCGGTATAAATGGCGACTGAAGATTTGAAGAGCTTGGTATTTTAATGAGTTCCCTGCTGAATACCTTGTTACATCAGAACATCATTTATAATTGGTAACATCCTCAAAATTAAATTTTGTTACTGACAGCCAAGATATAAGATATAAGCTTTGATGTAAAAAAAAAAGTATCATCTGAAAATGAATATTTGTCAGTGTTATCTGTTATACCCAAGCATGAGTGGCTCAAAAGTGTGGAATTGAAAGTTTGTGGAAACATCAGGCATGACATAAAAGGTAGTTCACCACAACTCACCGACACAGTTTTACGAAATGTGTTCTCATTAATCAAGACTTCCGACATGTCTATGGTTGTTTTTTACATAATCTGTATTAAAATGTTAAAATTCAGGATTGGTCTTTTTAGTTAATAAATTCCATTGCAACAAATTTTAGCAATATGCATTGAGAGGCTACGATTCTTGATTATGGAACCGGTCAGTCTTAGTCAGACAGAGAATCATTTACCATGTGATATTAGTGGCACTTAGTGCGAAGGGTATTTTTGGCCAAGCCAGCCACAGCTACCAAAGGTGCTGGCTTATCTGCAGCCAGTAATGTTGATATAACCCCCCAGTCAGTTGAAAATTGGCAAGCTGGTTGGCTCACTAAGTTCACTTTTGCAATAAAAGCTGAAAAGCATTGACAAACTGCGTAAACTGTGATATACAATATTGGGAATTTACACGGTTGTATTATTGATGGCTTGTGGACCAATTCAGATTGGACAACCTATTACAATCAGCGTAAGTCATAGTGCTTGTATGGATAGGCTTATTAGGTATGTATTTGAAAAGACACAGATATTTTCAAAGTACACACAAGGCAGTGAGGATAACATGTTATTTTAGGAACTGTACGATGATTATGTTTAAGGATCATTGGTCTGAAATTCCTGGAATGGTTGTTGGATCCAAAGTCCTTCGCGACGACACTATCAAAGACTAGATGTTATGACCAGAAGCAGGTGCTTGGAGCCATTAGAATCAGGACTGACCAATGTCCACATATAATTGATAATAATGATTCAGATATTAAAGCCAATACACGTGGGAATCAGATCAATTCGTGATTTCTTAGACAAGGATGATTGATGTGTTTCGCTGACCTACAAGGAATATTAATCGTTCATATTATATTATATATCACTATTTATAGTTTGTCCTCCTTCAGTTTGATACATGATATTATTTAATTAACTCAAAGTTACAAGGTCGTATCATTCCCAGTGTATAGAATTGTGTTCGACTAATTACCTACCAGCATTATAGCTCTGTGACATAATAATATACAGATTTACAGCCGAGAATTTTGACGAAAGAGGCTTATTATCCCCATTAAACCGAATTGCATTAAAGACATTGTAATCTAAGTATTTCTTTCTCGTGTCAGCAATGCACGATGGTGAAATGGCTGTCCGTCGACAATACACATCATTTTCTCTAATAGCCTTATGCCCGTATTGAAATTAATTTTAAAATGTTAGATTTTTTGCTCAAGATGGAAACCAAGGAGTGATAGATATCAGCAAAAATTATTAGCTGTGTCTGATTTATGTAGTTGTTGATAAGTATAAGAGATGTCTTTTCACAGCTCAAAATTAATTTCGATTATCATCTTTTCTCGAAGGTCGCAATATTGGCTGCTTTATCAGCTTGGTCTTGTGAGACATCACATATCATATTAATTAAATCATACCAAGAAATAATAAATATTATAAGCTAAACAGATAACGATAGGTGGAATAAAACCAGTTTACCAGGGGATTAGAGTAACAATCTATAAAAAAATAAAGATGAGCTTTCTGTCGATTATCACAAAGTTTATAATAGAATAGTGACACTTGCCGTCAATACTGGAATCCACGAGGACTCGAGCAACAGAAATGAACAATTACTGACATGATTGAATTATACAAACTTTCACTGTACGGTGACTCCCTAAAGACTCACATTGTCAATAACCTTTCATTACTTTACTCTTATTTAAAGCTGGTTTCACTATTATGTGCAGCGGTTAATGCCTCAGAGGTATTTCTAGTTCCAAGAATAATTTAATTTATGGATTTAAGTTAGGGATTGAGTGAGATCATATGAAGATAATGCATTATGCAGTGAGAGAAACTACTTACATTAGAAGTTCACACACTTATAGTCTTCTGTTTATTGGGAAATTCCAACCGCTATTCAAATCGAACATTCTCCCAGGAATACAAAAACGGTCAGGATTCAAATAAACTTTTCGAAAATACAGCCTAATTCACAATTAGGTACTAGAGTGTTAGAGCCGACAACGGACCGACTCTCGGAAGCAATGGTACAGGAATCAGAATTGATCTTACATTGAGGAAGATTCGGCACAACTTGGATTGTCCCGACAAATCTGGCCTTATCCGTTAATTATTTCCCATCCGTTTACGATAAAATGGAAGGCCAGAGAATTAATTGAGAAGAAAGGAGATTTTTACGCAAAAACAAAGGATACCATATAAAAAGTATTTTGCTATGAAAAAACAAGTCAATTACACCAAGAAGTGAGAATACACGTCCCGTTCAGGAGACACATGAGAATACAGTAATTGGACCGAAAATTCAATAACTTTCAGTTCTTTCGTAAGAGCTCAAAGACTGTTGGTGAATTTCCATCGGTCCTCATCGTTGAGTATGTCAGCGAAATGGATTGCAAAGTTTAAAACAAAGTCTCTTTGGCATCCTAGATTGTAAGCACATTAAGTGATTGTCATATCGATGATATTAATTTTGTCATGTCGAAGATATAATTCAACATTATAAATACATCCAAGTATTATGTTTCAAACGTGGGTTTATCAATTACTAGTATTGATATTACCTATTTAATTAGATATTTGATAAACTTAAGTACATTTATATCGTTGAAATGTGAAATGAAGTAGCTATGATTCAGTTTTCAAAACACCGTTTCATAACTTTTGTGCTGCAATTGAATTTTCAAAATAAGAAAGGTAAGCGTCTCTTTGCAAGACAATCAAGATGTTTATGTATTTTTAGCGATCAGGTTGACAGCTCAAAGGAGTAATGACTCTCGTTTAAAGCTTAAACCAAATTAAGTAGTACTAGCGTCACATTCACGTGTCGTGATATTGGGATAGAGTACTTTATTTTTATTCGTTTACCGACAATGTCTGTACAAATCGCGATAATTAACCACACGACCAAATGACAAACAGATTTGACCAACACGGCTTTTGTGAACTCATATCAGACTTTCAAGAGAACTCGGAAACCAGTGGTGAAGCCAAAAGGGGAACAGAGGGGGCAGTGGAC